GGGTGTTTACGGTACTTTATTGTAAAATTTGGTTTAAGTATTTGGTCAAAGGCTCTGGGTCATCTGCTGGCCTTCGAGTATCATCTGCAGCTTCTACAAAACTCCCCCTAAATTCCCATTTAATTTCTTACACCAACCCATGAAATATCTACACCATGATGGGGAAAGTTGCAATGTGAAAGGAATAACTGTACTCCTTCTGTTGAATCACTCGGTTAGTTGTACAGGAACCGCTCAAGTTGGGGGTTATACTCCATACTCTTTGAAGTCCCTTCTCATTCATAGATTTGGAGATTCTCAGTCCATATGTCCATTTCCCACGCCCCAGAGTTGGGGGAAATGTTGGGGAGCATGACGGAACTTTACAGGCATTCCAGAGCTACCTTCTGTGTTGCCATGATAATGTGCAGAGACATTCCAGGGCAGAGCTGTTGTTTGAGCTGGACTGAAATGGAAGAAGTTGATATCCAGGTATAAAAGACCTGGGGACTGGTATCTAGTACTGAAGAGTGACCCTCTACATAGGGCTTCTCTTGTAGCAACTCCTTTCACTGTCTGGGAGGGCAAGTCTAGCAGTCACGTCAGACCCCTTCTGCCAGCTTTTTGGTTAGAGCAAATTCCCAGGAAACTGAGTGGGGGAACTTTGGGGATGCCTACCTACAAGGGGTGTGGTATTATCTTCAGCATCTCATTACATTCAGGTCATTCTTATAAAGATTTTATGATGATGAGAGACATATGGCTCAGTTGTTGCTGGTATTCCTCCTAATCGCCATTTTAAGAAAAATAATCCCATTGATGTTTTTTTCCCCCTAATCTTTAGGTATCCAGTTGAATCTGGAAGGGAGCACATGTTTTCATTTATTCAATCTCCTCTGTAATTCACTATTTTATGAGGCAATACTGCTTAGAATTTTCCATATCCTCCTCCGTGTTTTACAAATGAATTTGTGCCCTAGACCTGATTTGCTCTCTGGGTTTGTGAACTGAAGTAGTTTCTGGGCTCTTTGGATTTCTTGTCATGGTAACTAAGTCGTACAGGTTGAACTTCTGCAAGAAATGGTAACGATCCAGTCAGTATTGATAATGAGTCGACTTCTTTCTCTATTGATTTTCAGTTTTTTGGTGTCAACAACTTCAATTCAATAAGCATTTATCAAGTGTCTACTGGGAACCAGGCATCTTGCTTGGTGCTGGGGATACAAAGGCAAAAATGAAACAATTCCAGAGCCAAGATGGTGGAGGAAAGGCAGGGACTCACCTGAGCTCTCCCTCAAACCCCTCCAAATACCTTTAAAAATGACTCTAAACAAATTCTAGAGCAGCAGAACCCACAAAAAGACAGAGTGAAACAAATTTCCAACCCAAGACATCTTGGAAGGTCAGAAAGAAAGGTCTGTTGCACCAGGGTGAGAGAGGAACACAGTCCATCACAGGCCGTGCCAGCATAGCCTGGGCCCCAGCAAACCAGGAGCAGGCCTTGGGAGTCACTGAATCAGCAATGGCAGCTGCTTCCAGAGCTCTCAGCCCACAGGGTATAAGGGGGGTCAGACAACTGGTCAGAAGGAGATTACAGGAGTCTTTTTGCTAGCACTGAGGTGGGACTCTGTTGCTTTGCCCATACTCAGATTCGGTTTGCAGTCCTAAATGGCAGTCTAGGATGGTAGTCCCAGTTGGAGGAGAACTAGCCCACCCCAGCTTGCGGCCACAGTGGAGGAGGAACCCTCTTCACAGTTCCAGGACAGAAAAGATTGTATGTTGTCACTCACAGACCAGAGCAGAGGCCAGGATAGTAGTAAATACCTCTCCTTATTTCACAGCACCTTGGCAGAACTGGAAACTGACAGGGTCGCTAGAAGTTTCTCTGAAAACGGCAGCACAAAACCCATGAAGTTTGGTACAATTCATCCTCTCACCCTGGAAGCAAAACCCTACTTTAACAAAGAGTTAAAAAATAGGCTAGGAAAATGAGCAAACAATGGGGGAAAAGAAACCTCTGACTACAGAAAGTTACTATGATGATAAGGAAGATCAAAACGTGCTCAGAAGAAGACAATGAAGTCAAAGTTTCTACATTCAAAGCCTCTAAGAAAAATATGAATTGGTCTCAGGCCATGAAAGCGTTCAAAGATTTTGAAAATCAAGTAAGAGAAGTAGAGGAGCAATTGGGAAGAGAAATGAGAGTCATGCAAGAAAATCGTGAAACAATTCTATTTTCTACTAGGGGAAAACAACATCTTTGGGAGGCAGGTAGGTGGCACAGTGGATAGAGTGCCAGGCCTGGGGTCAGGAAGACTCATCTTCCCAAACGGGATCACAGAGTAAGACATGGCTAAAGTGACTGAACAAGAGCAAATACATGGTACATACAAAGCAATTTAGGGGAGAAGAGAAAACTAACAAAGGAGTAGGATCTAGTATAGTAGGTGGCACAGAGTCCTGGAGGAAGTTCGGTGGAGAAGGAGAGGGAAGCTCTCCAAGCATGGGACATACAGGTGGGAGATTGGGAGATGGGATGGCACGCCTGGGGGACAGCAGGAAGACCAGTTTGGCTGGAATGTAGTGTGATAAAGGAGAATAACATGAAGTCTGGACTTCTGAATGCTCTTTCAATCTCAAAAAGCTCACAGGAGCCTGGTCTATTATGTCTCCAATAACCATTCAGCTAGGACCAAGAAAGAATACACAAAACAGATAGAATAGAAACAGCATCATGTGTTTGTGTCCACATGGTAGCTGGGTGGAGACAGCAAGATAGGTTGCTGAAGCCATTGCTACTACATCTCTCCCTCTCCTCCTTTCCTTCCCACTCCCCCAAATCTGAAGGCTTAAAGTATTTTTCCTTCCTTCTCACTAGATAGAAAACTATCAAGAAAATTAGAGTTCTTTTTTTCCTCATATTTCCACATTAGTCATGTTATGAAAGAAGAATCAGAACAAAAGGGAAAAACCATGAGAAAGAAAAAAACAACAAAACAAAAAGGAGAACATAGTATACTTTGATCTGCATTCAGACTCCATAGTTCCTTCTCTGGATGTGGATAGGATTTTCCATCATGAGTCTTTTGAAATTGTCTTGTATTGTATTGTATTGTAATCATTGTATTGCTGAGAAGCGCTAAGTCTATCAAAGCTGGTCATCACACAATGTTGCTGTTATTGTGTGCATTGTCTTCCTGGTTCCGCTCACTTCACTCAGTGTCAGTTCGTGTAAGTCTTTCCAAGTTTTTCTGAAATCCACCTGCTCATCATTTCTTATAGAACATTAATATTCCATTATATTCATACACTACAACCCAATTGCTGGGCATTCCTGCAATTTCTAATTCTTTGCCACCAATTCTTTGCTATAAATATTTTTGTAGATGTGGGTCCTTTCCCCTTTCTTATGATCTCTTTGGGATACAGATCTAGTATTGCTATTGCTGGATCAAAGGGAATGCACAGTTTTATAGTCCTTTGGGCATAGTTCCAAATTGCTCTCCAGAATGGTTGGATCAGCTCACAACTCCACCCAACAATGCATTCGTGTTCCAATTTTCCCACATCTTCTCCAACATTTATCATTTTCCTGTTTTGTCATGTTAGCCAATCTGATAGGTGTGATGTGGTACATCAGAGTTGTTTTAATTTGCATTTCTCTAATCAATACTGATTTAGAGCAGAAAACGAGAGTTCTTTTTGGTCCTTTGAGTCTTTTGTATACACATTCAATTCTGGCTTAGTAGCCAGTTAAAAGGTTTTCCATCACTATTCAATAAAGTCAATGAGAAATTGCCATAGGATACCTGTGTATCCTCTGAATTAGGAAGGGAAAGGGCTCCTCCATCACACACCTCAGGAAGTAGGATCACCAAGTCTCCATATAAGATTGCCAACTGGCACTGGATACCATGTATGGTCTAAAGATTTTATTGGCCAGTCCCTTCCCCCATCACACATCCTATTATTGAGTCAACTTCTTTTATTAAATATTATATTCACAAAACATCTTTTCTTAAACATTTTGTTTACATGTCTCATTTTATTTTTTGTCTCAATTTATTTAAATATATCATTTTGTTCCATCCCCAAGACTGAACCACCACCAGATTAACATGAAAATAGGTCCTTGGAAAGCAAGAGTTGTCTATCGCAGGACCCCTACTTAGTAAGTCAAGAAGCATTTATTAAGCACCTATTATGTCCCAGGCACTGTGCTAAATACTGGGGATATAGGAAAAAGTAAAAAAAAAAAAACCCTCAAAAAACCCAGTGCCTGCCCTCAAGGAGCTCACAATCTAATGGGGGAGATAAGCTATTCAAACAGGCTAAATTGAGATCACTCAACAGAGGAAAGGCACTAGAATTAAGGGGGATCAGGAAAGGCTTCCTGTAGAAGGTAGAATTTTTAACTGGGACTTCATAGAAGCCAGGAAAGCCAGGAGGCAGAGATAAAGAGGGAGAGAATACTGGTCCTGGGTGACAGCCAGTGAAAACACTTGGAGTCAGGAAATGGAGTGCCTTGTTGGAGGAATGGTAAGGAAGCCAGAGTCAGTGGACATCCACATACACAGAAGAGAGTAAAGGGTAAGAAATCTGGAAAGGTGGGGGAGGGCCTGCTTATGAAGGGCTCAGTGGAGAATTTTGTATTTGAGTCTGGAGGTGATAGGGAACCCCTGGAGTTTACTGAATGGTTTGGGGGGTGGGGGAGGCAATGTCACTCCTTCTAGCTCAGCACAACCCATTCAAGCTTGAGCTCATACCTTTTAAGAGTCCAGGGTCATCCCCATGTCATGACAAGGCAACTACAGTATGGTAGTAAGTGCATCATAGAGGTGAGAACAATGGTGAGATCAAAGAGGGAAGGCCTTTGTTAATAAGGGGTAGGCAATCTAGGAAGATTTCCTGAAGGAAGTAGCATTTGAGTTGGGTTTTAAGGAAAGAGTAGCAGGCCAGCTAGGTGGCGAAGTGGCTAGAGTAGAGTACTGGCCCTGAAGTAAGAAGGACTTCAAATCCATCCTCAGACACTTACTATCTGTGTGACCCTGGGCAAGTCACTTAACCCCGATTGCCTCCAAAACAAAGAAAGGATAAGAATTCACTAAGGGAAGAGTTGGACGGGGAGGGCAATTCAGGCACAGGAAAAGTGTGGCAGAAAATGAAGAGTATGAGACATGCTCTCATGGGGCAGAGGACAGATCACACATTTCAGGGAGACTCCCAGTTACTCTATTCTCTCCTGGGAGCAGGAGTAGGTAGACTGCCCTGTGAGGGGTTGGGCCAGGGTTCTCCCTGCCCTCTGCCCTCAATGACCCCTGATCTCAGGTGTTAATGATGAACAGGGCTCAAATTTTCTCACCAGTGGCCGGAAGGCTTTCCACAGGGCAGGCATTTGGGAACAGAGTGTACCCCCGCCACGATGCTCCTCTGCATAGTTGCGGTTCAGATCCCCTATGCAGGTCCAGGTGCTGTTGAGTGCCACACACCACTTGGCATGGTCATGGGTGGCACTGAAGGGAGGCATAGTTGAGTCAGGGAAGGCCAGCTCCAGCACATTTAACACATGGAAGGGGCCAGAACAGTTGGAAGGCAGCACTTTACTTGTTCTGGGCCAGAACTGGACAAACAGGTCACTACCCAGAGCTGTGGTCAGCCAGCCAGAATACAGGTCTGTGGGAGACAATACCTAGTCAAGGCCAAGAGACTTGAGGTCCTAGTCATGGCCCCACCTCAAACTGACCCAAACACTGAAAACCTCTCTCAAACTTCCCTTTCTGTATACATCAAAGGTCTGAATGACCCTCATGGACTAAGGGGGTGAGGGTGGGGATGACTACCTTCTTTGCCCCACCTGGGCCTCACCATCTTGGAAGTCATTAAACTTGGCAAAACTCTGGAAGACAACCCCGGCTCTTGAGGTGAGAGTGACACCTCGATTCCAGGGGCCCTGGCCCACATGGTGACCTTCAGCAGCACGTTTTAGCTCCGGCAGGTCCTGGGCAAAGGTTCCTTCTAGCCTGTAGTCATATACCTGGGGATAGGTGTAGGTCAGCTGTTTGCCTGAAGGAGGACACCCAGAGGGTAGGAAAGGGAAAAACGGTTTGACTGCCTCCACACTCCCCAAAGATTAGCCTCTTTCAAATCCACAGACACACCCTCCCCAGGGTGTCCCCGGTAGGCTCACCAATCTCTCGGAACTGGCTATAGGTGAAAGTGACACAGAGTAGGGTCTGTCCATAGGTCTGGGCAGTTTGGGGCCAGTTATAGGATGAGTTAGCATGTGGTGGGAAGTGAGGGACGCTGTGGACCAACCAGATGCCACTATCTCTGTTCAGAAGAAGCACACCTAAAATGGAGAGGGGAAAGGGGCTGGGAGACATGGAGACGCCAGAGTTCCTGAGGTCCCAGAAGTTGATGGGAGAGATGAGGAAAACCGTTTGACCGAAAGTTGTCAACCCAGCCCAGACACTTGCAAGAAGGACAGGTGAGCCCAGCTTGGACACAGTTGGGGAGAGGTCACAAGGAGAAAGGGAAGGTCAGCCTAGGCCCAGGAATATGGGGAGAATGGGTCATTTAAGGACTGGAAATACAGGCATACATCAATCCCAGACATAGACACAGAAGGCTGAATCTCACCCTTGGTGTGTCCTCGGTAGGTGGTATCAGGGCCTCCATTACCTAAGGGTGGCTGGTCATTGTACAGTAGGTAAGCCAGCTAAAGGGAAGTATAGGGCAAAACATGAGCAGGGTACTGTGCTAGTTTCCCCCACGTTCCTAGGCTCACTTCCCTCAAGTGCCTGGCCCAGGCCCTCACCTCACTCAAGTTGCCTTGGTACAGCTGATTCATGGTCCGTCCCACAGCCCCCTGGGTGCTGTCAATGGAGATGGCACCCTCTTGCCAGCCCCCACTGTTTCCATCCAGGTACATGTAGTTGAGTCCTTTCAAGGAATCAGGCAGGGCTGGTAGCTTGTAGGTCACAAACCTGGGGAGAAGAGAGGGATGGGGGAAGAAAGAGAGCAGGGCAGCCAGGAAGAAGTGAGAGTGTGGTCTGTGTCCAGGGTGGTAAAGTATTGTAGAATTCAAGTCTAAAAGGGTCTTTAGAGATCATCTTCTAGTCTAAATATCTTATTTTACATATAGGGTAATGTGAGGGGAAGAAACTTGTTCTGGGTCATAGAGGCAGGATTCAAACCCAAGTGCTGACTCCAAATCCAGATCTCATTCCAGAACACAAATATGGAGCTAGGACTCCATACCCTCAAGCACCCCACTCTAACCCTTCCATCTATGAGAGGCAGGCCAGAAAGAGGGTGGGAAGACAGATAGAAGCAGTAGAAAAGACAGAAAAAAAATTGATTTGGGTTAGGGCTAGATGGAGGGGGGGAGTGCCACTGGAATTGTGGGGAAGTGGAGCTACTTTGCAACATCATAGATTTCAAGCTGAAAAGGACCTTGGTGGTCATTCATTCAATCCCCTCATTTAACATATGGGGAAATTGAGGGCCATAGCCCAGAAGGGTCTTGCCCAACAACATCACCAAGGTAATATTCATCTCCAGCTCTCCTGACTCCAGCTCAGGCGGCTGTTCTCTCCAGATAAAGCCTAAATTGGGGGGAGGGGAGAATTTGGGGGAGCCTATGACTCACCAGTCCACAGGCTGTCCAGCGTCTCCATAGCAGGAGATGGTGGTGGCGGCGGCGGCGGCCCGCAGGAGCCCTGCCAGGAGCAGGAGGGTCGTCATGAGGTGAGGAGGTCTGAAACAAGAGGACAGGGGCTTGGGTGGTGGAGGTGGGGTCCCCATGGTGTAACAGTTCTGGCAGATCTGGGCTCCACCCCTGCGTAGACGGGAGTCCATAAGTCAGCCCTGAGATGGGCGGGGGAGGGCCCCCAGGACCGAGAACAGGCGGCCCCCTGGCTGATCACAAGACTGGGCCCTCGAGATTCACAAACTCTCACTTCCCTAAATCACGCCGCCCACTCGCAGTCACCTGAGTTAAAAGTTTCCGTCCCAGGGAGGGAGGAGAAAGCCCTACTCCCAGGGGAGACCCCGAGACCCCAGTTCCCCGGACCCAGAGGCCTTAAACCGGCAGAGGCAGCAATGGGAGAAGTTTCATCTTTCCGGACACAGCTCTCAATACCCCCCCTTCCCGCCCCCACTGTACTGGCCCGCCCACGACCCGCCCACTGGATCGTCCAGCCAGACTCCTCCCCTCGACTCGCGAGCGACCACTTGCCGATCACACTCTACCTGGTCTCTCTGCACTTTCTTTTTTCAGTCTGTAAAACGGAATTACCACTCCCTGCTGGCCCACCTGCAGGACCTGCTGCCAGGATCCAGCTAGACAACGTTTCTGCACTTCCGGGGTCGAGATTCTGGGACCAGGGAGAGCCTCCTGCAGCCTCTTAGGGGGTGGGGTGGGAAGTTGGTCTTTGGCCAGACCTGCTAAGGCTTGGAGGCTTGGCATTTATTTCCCTTCCAGGCACTAAGATAGGCAGGAAAATCTCGCGATGTATCCTTTCTCAACCCTCAAGAGTAGATCGTTGGAACTTTGTGAAGGGAAAAGGGAATTTAATTATCCCTTCCTCACCGCTCTCCTCAGGGGTCCCCTAGTTGCAATTTACGCTCTTTGCAATGTTTCCCCATTGCCTATCTGCCTACCCTGTCCGACCCTTCGTGACCCTATTTGGGGTTTTCTAGGCAAAGATATTGGAGTAGTTTGCCATTTTCTGCTCTAACTTGCTTTACAGATGAGGAACTGCCCCAGACAGAGTTAAGTGACTTGGCCACACACTAGTAAGTGTCTGAGGCGGGATTTGAATTCACAAAGATCAGTCTGATTCCAAAGCCAGTGCTCACTGCACCGTCTAGCTGCCTAGTAAAGTTAAAACTGCATGCTTGGTATCTTAGGCCATGCACCATCCGATTTCTACCTTTGATGCTTTATCTCAAATCATTCCCCAACGTAAGATAATAGGGAGATCCCTTGAATTTGGAGTCAAAGGCCTGGGACTTAAGATATGTCTCTGCTACTTACTAGCCATGTGATCTGTGCCAAGTGACAGCCTCATAGGGTCATAGAATTTTTGAGCTGGAAGGAGCCTTTAAAGGTCATTTTATCTCATTTTATAGATGAGGAAACATGTCTAGAGAAGTAACATGACTTGCCCTCGGTTACACAGGTGGCTCAGTTTTAGAGCCCGTATTTGAACCCACGTCCTTGGACTCTATCAAAGGTCATGCTATCTCTCCTATATACACCACTCTTCCTCAGCTGAAGATATTTTTAAGGAAGTAGTAAAACTGCTGAACACAGAAAATCATCACAAAGTATGAAGTCTTGAAGTCAGCACTATGATTTATGCACGACAATGTCATGGATAAAATGAAAAAGCAAGTAGTATCTGTTCCATTGACACTCAGCTAGGCTCTCAACTTCTCATCTGTCACTAGTGGCCTTTCCCACTAATGAACCTGAAATGAGCCCATCCACCCATTCCTGGAGTCTGTCCTTCATTTGCAGGGTGACCCACATCAGCCTAAGGTCACATGAGTAAGGACATTGGGAGTGACCACCTTCCCTAATCCTCTTTGTCACTCAATAAACATTTATTAAGCACTTTTTATGTGTCAGGCACTGTGCTAAGGGCTGGGGATACAAAAAAAAAGGGGGGAAAGATAGTTCCTGCTTTCAAGGAACTCACAGTCTAATGGGGGAAAAAACATGAACAGCTGTGTACAAACAAGCTACAGACAGGGTAGAAGTTGACTTCTGTTAATAATGGTCCTCTCTTGAGACTTCACACAGCACTTTTTTTTTTAGTATGCTCTTTATTCTGTATGACTTTGGACAAATCACTTACCTTCTCTGGGCCTCCTTAGGTTGGACTCGATGACCTTTAACGTCCTTTCCAACTGACTGAACATTTGTGATGTCCCTGCTTCATCTCTCCCCACCCCCCTCTTATCCACCCCCAGCTCAGCTGCCAAAGTACTTTTTCTCAAAGCCTAAAGTCTGACTATGTCTCCACAGCCCCCCACCCAACAGTAAACTATTGACTCCCTATTGCCTCCTGGATCAAATATAAAACCCTCTGCTTGGTTTGTAAAGCCCTCCACAGCCTGGCCCCTTCCTACCTTACCAGGCTTCTTACACTTTACTTCTCTCCATGTATGTCATGACCCAGCTATAACAGACTCCTTGCTGTTCCTCTTACAAGACACTCTGCCTTCTTAGCTGTCCCCCATGCCTGGGATCTTCTCCCTTATCACCTCTGGCTCCCAACTTCCCTGGCTTCTTTCAAGACCCAGCTCAAATTCCACTTACTGCAAGAGACCTTTCTTGGCCCCTTCCCCCAAGCTATTCACACCTTCCCACTATCACCTTCATTTTATACTATCTATACCACGGAAGCACAAAGTTCTTTTGCATGTTGTCTCCCTCATTTGAATCTGAGCTTCTTGTTTTTTGGTTTTTTGGTTTTGTTTTGCTAGGCAATAGAATTAAGTGACTTGCCCAGGGTCATCCAGCTAGTAAGTGTCAAGTGTCTGAGGTCATATTTGAACTCAGGTCTCCTGACTCCAAGGCTGGTGCTCTATCCATTGTGCCACCTAGCTGCCCCAGAATTTGAGCTTCTTAAGGGCAGACTATTTTTGCCTCTTTTTGTATCCATGATCCTCTTCAAGAATGAAGGACAGAGGGGCAGCTAGGTGGTGCAGTGGATAAAGCTCTGGTCTTGGAGTCAGGAGGACCTGAGTTCAAATCCAACCTCAGACACATGACACCTACTAGCTGTGTGACTCTGGGCAAGTCACTTAACCCCGACTGCCTTACGAAAAGGCAAAAAAAAGAAAAAAAAAATGAATGGACATACAACAACAATTCTTAGCACTTAGCCTGCCACACAGCAGGCACTTAATAAATGTTTATTGACTGACTGAGCCAGGATCCTGGGATCTACTTACTAGATGAAGCATATGATCCATTATATGGCTCTATGTCTTATCCCCCTACTAGCTGTGAACTTCAGGCAGCACTGCCTCTTGGTTAGGCTTTGTGACTACTCTAGTGTAATGCTCTCTGCAAACAGAAGGTGATTAATAAATGTTTGTTGAGTGACCAAATGAGTCACTCATATGAATGAATTTTGAATGAATGAATGCATGCATGAGTCAGGCACAAATTGAGGCTGGGACATCTTGGCCTAGGGTCTGAACTGTCCTACCTGGGACAGTGAGGCAGATACTAGATCTAGGATTTTCTGTACCTGCACTGAGCGCTCTTCTTGCTGGGCCAGGCATATGTTGGGGCCAGAGTCAGGACTCCCTTGTCCCCAGTTGTTTCCCCACTCTTTGATCCACTGTCCCCAACAAAGTCAAGCCAATTAGAATCACCGAAACTTTATACAAGAACAGCTGGGAAAAGAGGCATCTTTACAAAGCAGATTCTGGGAGCCCTGCCCAGGACTGTTCATTCCATGGGCCTGGACTGGTAAGGAAAATGCATATATCAAGGAGCAGGCTGGGGCTAAGGGTGAGGGTGGGCTGGGAAGCGTTAACCATTCATAGCAACAGTCTGGTGATCACAGAGGAGGACAGCTAGAGGGTTGGTGGGAAGCCTGTGACCAGAGGGGATCCCTTCTGCTAAGCCACAATGGGAATCTGGAGAAGGGAGTGAAGGCAGAAGCATTGGGGCCCCATGGGTCCAGTGCCTGGAGCTGAGGGTGGTCCTGCTCAGGCACCTGCTCAGATGGTCCACCAAAGGACATAGCAGCCCCTGGGCTGGGTTCAAGGTCTCTGTCTATGTACCATTTTGTGCTTCTATTCCTGGGTGCCCTAGGCCTGCGTTCTTCTGCATGTGACTCCCTCTGTCTTTGGCTTCTTCCATGATCTGAACGTGGCTCTGTCCAAGGTCTTTGCATTTGATTGCCTCCCTCTATGGCTTATTCCAGGCTTTGCCTGGGGCTCCATCCCATTCTTGGAGGCCAGGCTTAGCGCCTTGGGCCTCACAGATGGCGCTTCATGTGCAAGGCAAGGTGGTCAGAACGAGAGAAGGCACGTGAACATAACTGGCACTGGAAAGGGCGCTGTCCAGTATGCTTCCGGTAGTGCCGAGTCAGCTCATCAGAGCGGGCAAACTTCCAGCCACAGTCCTCCCAGGTGCAAGCATAAGGCTTCTCCCCTGCAGTAGGAAGGAGGTAGATCTACCCTTAGTGGGGGCGGGGGGGAAGACCCAAAAACCTCCCTTAAAACATCTATTTGCCACCATTGCCAAGGAGATAGATACCCCATCCCTACCCAGAAGAGAGGTCTGGGGACCTTGTCAATCTGCCTACATACCTGGTTCCCTCCACCCTCCAGTCTTAGAGTACCCATAAGCCTTCTGCTTAGGTACTCATGGAAAATGCTAGTGACCTGCTGGACATGAAGACATCACCCCCCTCCCTGCAAGTGTATCAGTGACCACAAGATTCATGGAAGAACCAGTGACCCCATATGCCCAATGACCCCAAGGGAACAAACATTAACTCCCAAGATATTCCCAGGGATTATCTGTGACCCATCCTTGATGCAAAGCCCCTCCAATAATGCCTTAAGTAAAGGAAACTCAAGAGAATAATCATGAACCTCTGCTCCCCCATCAGAACCTCCTAAAGGATTATCAATGACCCTGGCTGTAGAGGGGCTCCTCCCTCAACTCCCAAGGGGCTCTTACCTGTGTGGGTTCTTAGATGGGCTTTGAGGTGGGAACTCTTGGTGTAAGTCTTTCCACAACCTGGATGTCCACAGGTGTGGGCTGCCTGGCGCTTCCGGGTCCAAGGTCGACGACCCCGCTTAGGCTTAGAGGCCTCATCCCCTGGCTCAGGGGGTGCTGGGGGACCCAGGAAGGCCAGGGGCCCTGGCCCAGGGCTGGAGCTTGGTCCAGGCTCTCTTCGATACAGCTGAAACCGGGCTTGGTAGTGAGGGGCTGGGTAGAAGGC